CTCAGGTGGAGCTTGGCTTGGAAATTCCCGTTCCGGAGCTGGCTTCGGTGTGGGGATCCCCCGGCATCTCCGAGTTTTCCTCGCTCCGGCCGGGATGGGGCTGGAGGAGAGTTGGAGGCCATGGTCCCCGTGGCTTCTCCCAAGGGTCCTCCTGGGAATGGGAGGAAAAGGAGGTAGAGGAAGGTGTAGAGGTTCCTTTCAGGAGGTTCATTATGGAAGTCCATTTGGGAATGTTCCTTAGGGAAGCTCATTTTGGGATGTTCGTTATGGAAATCCATTTGGGAATGTTCCTTAGGGAAGCTCATTTTGGGAGGTTCATTATGGAAGTCCATTTGGGAACGTTCCTTAGGGAAGCTCATTTTGGGAGGTTCATTATGAAAGTCCATTTGGGAACGTTCCTTAGGGAAGCTCATTATGGAAATCCATCTGGGAATGTTCCTTAGGGAAGCTCATTTTGGGAGGATCCTTATGGAAATCCATTTGGGAACATTCCTAAGGGAAGCTCCTTTTGGGAGGTTCATTATGGAAATCCATTTGGGAACGTTCCTAAGGGAAGCTCATTTTGGGAGGATCCTTATGGAAGGCCATTTGGGAATGTTCCTTAGGGGAGCTCATTTTGGGAGGTTCGTTAGGGAATGTTCCTTGGGGAAGCTCATTTTGGGAGGTTCATTATGGAAATCCATTTGGGAACGTTCCTAAGGGAAGCTCATTTTGGGAGGATCCTTATGGAAATCCATTTGGGAACATTCCTAACGGAAGCTCCTTTTGGGAGGTTCATTATGGAAATCCATTTGGGAACGTTCCTAAGGGAAGCTCGTTTTGGGAGGTTCATTATGGAAGGCCATTTGGGAATGTTCCTTAGGGGAGCTCATTTTGGGAGGTTCGTTAGGGAATGTTCCTTGGGGAAGCTCATTTTGGGAGGTTCATTATGGAAATCCATTTGGGAACGTTCCTAAGGGAAGCTCATTTTGGGAGGATCCTTATGGAAATCCATTTGGGAA